TATATGCTGCCCTTCTGCTCCAAGGCAGTGGATTAGCAGAGCACTCTTTCTTACTTCAGAAATCTCTGTAGCACTGATTGCAAGCAGATAAGTCTCAAACATACGGATCCAGGCAGTAAAAGCAATTGGAGGCTCACCTGGGCTTTGCAGAAAAGGTGCAGGTGGGTTCAGAGGCAGAAGATCCATCCTCATCGCCAAAATGTTGTATCCACCAAGCAAAGTATTAACAACTTCAACAGAACTTTATTTACAGTGGAAGTCTTTTCTCCAAGCTGTAGCTGCACACTCTGTAACTCTCCCAGCCTCCTCAACTCCTCCCCCCTCCTTCCTGTTTCCTGTCCTTTCAGACTCCCAACAGCCTGTGCTCCCAGTTCTAATAATCACATGCAGCATCTAAACACCACAAACAGTCCTGAATGTATCTGAAGACTGTGATCAGGTTTCCCCTCAGTCTTCTTTTCTCAAGACTAAACATGCCCAGGTTTTTAACCTTTCCTCATAGGTCAGGTGTTCTGAACCTTTTATCATTTTGGTTGCTCTCCTCTGGACTCTCTCCAATTTCTCCTGGACAATTTGTACTGGACACGGTACAGCTAAGGCCTCACCGGTGCCAAGTGGAATAGGACAATTACCTCCCATATCTTACATATGACACTCCTGTTAATACACCCCAGAGTATTGGCCTTTTTCACAGCTGCATCACTTCATTGTCTCATATTCAATTTGTGATCCAGTATAAGTGCCAGATGGTTTTCAGCAGTACTACTACCTAGCCACTTATTCCCCATGTTGTAGTTCTGCTTTTGATTTTTCCTACGTGTAGTACTTTGCACTTGTCTTTATTGAATTTCATCCTGTTGAATTCAGACCAATTCTCCAATTTGTCAAGATCATTTTGAATTCTAATCCTGTTTTCCAAATACTTGCAATCCCTTACCCCAGTTTGGTGTCAGCTACGTATTTTATAAGCATACTATCCACTCCATTACTGAAAATATTGAATAGCACTGGACCCAGGACTGACTCATGTGGGACCTCACTAGATACACCCTCCCAGTGTGACTACTTCCATTGATAACTAGTCCCTGAGTAGTCTCTCAATCAGTTGTGCACCCACCTTACAGTAATTTCATCTAGACCAAATCTCCCTAGTTTGCTTATGAGACTATCATGTGGGACTTATCAAAAGCCTTACTAATGTCAAGATATATTACATCTACTGGTTCCACCATCCATTACACCAGTAATCCTGTCAAAGAAGGAAATTAGGTTCATTTGACATGATTTGTTCTAGACAAATCCATGCTGGCTATTCCTTATAACCCTATTATCCTCCTGGTGCTTACAAACTGATTGTTTAATAATTTGTTCCAATATCTTTCAGGTACTGATGTTAAACTGACTGGTCTATAATTCCCTGGTCCTCTTTGTTCCCCTTTTTAAAGACAGATAGAGGTATATTTGCCCTTCTCCAGTCTTTTGGGGCCTCAAAGATAATTGCTAGTGGTTCCAAGATTGCTTCAGCTAGTTCCTTAAGTACCCCAGGATGAATTTCATCAGTCCTTGTTGACATTAATACATCTAACATTCAAATATTCTTTAACCCGTTCTTCCCCTATTTGACTTGCATTCCTTCCCCCTTGTTAATATTATGTCGAGCATCTGTTCACCATTAAACTTTTTAATAAAGATAGAAGCAAAATAGGCATTAAACAGCTCAGCTTTCTTGATGTCATCAGTTATTAAATCTCCTTCCCTGCCAAGTAGAGGACCTACATTTTCCTTCATCTTTCTCCTGCCCCTAATGCTGCCTCTGGCCCCGCAGACCTTTTTATCCAGCCCTTGAGCTCCTGCCAGGGAGCGGGACTGGGGGCTTGCTCCGCTCAGCCCAGCGCACTGGCTGGGGAGCTGGGTCGGGGGCTTGCTCCGCTCTGCCTGGCACTTCTCAGCCCCTGACTCATAATTCTACCATCTTTCTGCACACACAGAGCCACACTGCAGGTGCGACTTCACCGCACTGCTTCAAATATGCCATTTTTGGGAGGAGGGTGGGGCATAAAGTTACAAGTGTGTCTCTCTGCCTCCTCTTGTCCATCCATATGGGCTCTGGGCTAGAGTGCTATGGTTCAAAATTGACAGGAGCACTGACGTCCGACAAATCCAGGCTACAGTGAGTGCCCAGTTTTTTCACAGTGCGTGCAATCTTGTAAAACAGCAGTTTGAAATAAGGGCAGCAGTCAGGGGAGCATCACAGTGTTCAAGGAGTACAATTTGAGTCACCATTTTTCAACGAAACATCCTCATGTATCTTTATTAAACAGAAATAAACTCTACATCACTGAATTGTTAATTTTGTGAGCATTCATGGACCTTCATACAATTTCGATACCCATATGCTCAGGCCAAAACGTTTACCCACCCCTACCCTAATGTATTTAAAGAGTCTCTCCTTATTGCCCTATATGTTCCTTGCTAGTTGTAACTCATTTTGTGCCTTAGCCTTTCTGATTTTATTCCTACATGTTTTGTTTCTCCTTAGCAATTTGTCCATGTTTCCACTTCTCGTAGGATTCCTTTTTGATTTTCAGGTCATGAAAGAGCTGATGGAACCATATTGACCTCTTCCTGTTCTTCCTATCTTTCCTTCGCATTGGGATACTTTGCAATTGTGCCTTAATATTGTCTCCCTGAGAAACTGGCAGCTCTGCTGAATTCTGTTTTCCCAAAGGACCTTACCTGCCAGTTCTTTGAGTTTGTTAAAGTCTGCTTTTTGAAGTCCAATGTCCTTATTCTGCTGCTCTCATGCTCAGGTTTGCCAATTTTGGTTGGACATATTCCTGGAGGTTTCACCACATGACATAATCTCTAATTAAAGATTAATTCCTGGAGACTCCAGGACAACGCTGGA